CCCGTGTGAACATGCGGGCACTGCGCCAAGGCTGGGGAAGGCAGAGCTAGAAACCAGAAGCAGCTTCAGGAAGTTCCAGGGACCAGATCCAGGCTTGCAGAGAGGCTCTGTGGGTGTAGTCACCCCCATCCCCCTAGGACAGCCCCAGGAAGGTGAGGTCACAGCAAAGCCAGGTCTGAAGCCTGGAATGTCAGGCCAAGGGCTCTTCCCATGGAAAAGGAAGAGACAAAGACTCTGATAGTGACTGCATGCAGCACTGAATTAACTGAGCCAACAGAAGAAGTATGCAAGCCCTCAGGGCAGCAAGTACCCTAGGTATTGAAAAGCCCCTCTGGGTCTCTCAGGGACCCATGCAGACCGCCTGCTGGGTGGTGCACCTGGGTAAAGCAGCATCTAGGGTCAGGTGAGCTTGAAGGAGCAGGCAAGGTTCTAAGGAGAACTTAGACTTACAGTTGCAGAGATCCTGAGAATCAGCGAAGAGCACAGGGTAACCAGTACTGTTTAAGCCCTACTATGTGCAGACACTTCACCCTCACTCAGGCATCAATCTGTTTAACTCTCACCCTGGTTCCCATGCTAAAGAGGAGGAAACTGAGGCCCAGATTAAGGACCCAGAGTCACTGAGCTATGGCACAGGATTGGAATAAGCTGGACTGGAATCATGTTTATGATGAAAACTTTGAAAGCCAAGATCAGGATACTATGGGAAGAGCAATGAGGGAATCTTTCTTCACATAGACTGGTAAGGGACAATCTCCCGAAGAAGGAGCCTTTTGAGCTGAGGCCTAAAGAAATCAGCTAAGCAAAGAGTGGAGAAATCCATTTCAGTGAAAGGGAACAGCACGTGCAAATGTCCTGAGCCAAGAAAGAAGCTGATAGTCTTTCAATCTCCAAGGAACTGAATGGAGCCAGTGTGTCTGGGGCATTTTGAGAAGACAACAGGCTTGGAGAAGACACCAGATCATGCAGAACCTTGCAGGCTCAGTAAGGAGTTCAGATTTCAAGCCATGTGCCAGGAGAAGCCAGCAGAGAGATTAAGTGCCCAAATGACACAGTGTGATTTACCCACACTCCAGCACATAGTTTGTCACACAGAAGGTCATCAGTCAAAGGTTGTGGAACATCTGAATAAATAGACTCAAACTAGACTTCCAAAGGATGGAAACTGCTGGTTTTACAGAAGGAAAAGTAAGATTTCAGTTTTTGCCCAGGAGAAGAACAAACAATTTTGCCTAATCCAAATTCACTTTCATGCCTCTCTGCCTAAGAAGCACGCAGAGCCGCTGAAATCCACAGGCGCATCATGACAGAATAATTTCAGTGATCATTATCAAATGCCTCTATTTAGAAAAGCTCAGAAGATTGTATTAGCACAATCCAATATTTATGAAATGACACTCTGCCATAATGAGGGGCTGAGAAAATTAAGATTAGAAGCAAGAGTTATTCCTTTGGGAAGAGAGATTGGCACGGTGGGAAAAGCAATGTCACTCAGCTTCTTAGAACCTTAGTTTCCTGGTCTGTAAAATGGGAGGATTATAGGAAAGATTAAAAATGCATGGTCACAGGCAGCCCGGGTGGCTCAGCGGTTTAGCGCCGCCTTCAGCCCAGGGTGTGATCCTAGAGTCCTGGGATCGAGGCCCACGTCAGGTTCCCTGCATGGAGCCTGCTTCTCTCTCTGCCTGTGTCTCTGCCTCTCTCTCTCTCTGTCTGTCTCTCATGAATAAATAAATAAAAATCTTTTAAAAAAATAAAAATAAAAATGGTCAGTTTATAGAGGGCCTAAAGGCATTTGAAGATCATTATGATTCATTTCTTCATTTAAAAAGCACTTGAAGGGCACAAGGGTGGCTCAGTTGGTTGAGCATCTGACTTTGGCTGAGGTCATGATCCCAGAGTCCCAGCTCTGGGATCCCATGATCCCATGATCCCATCGGGCTCCTCGTTCAGTGGGGGGTCTGCTTCTCCTTCTGCCCCGCCCCCTGTTCATGCTCACTCTCACTCCCTCTCTCAAATAATCTTTAAAAAAATCTTTCAAAAATCTTTCAAAAAATCTTTAAAAAAAATAAAACTAAATAAAAAACACTTGATAGTGAAGTAAGTCAGGGAAAGACAAATATCCTATGATTTCAGATACACATGGAATCTAAAAAACAAATGAATAAACAAAAAGGAGAATTAAACCCAAAAACACAAAACTAAATTAGTGGTTGCCAAAGGGAAGGGGAGTAGGGATGGGCAAAATGGGTTAAGGGGAGTGGAGAGTACAGACGTCCAGTGGATGAAAGGCACAGCACAGGGAATATAGTCAATGGCGTTATAACAGCACCATATGGGCACAGAGGGTAGCTACAGTTACAGTGAGCACAGCATAACATAGAATCTTGTTGAATCACTATGGAGTACACCCAAAACTAATACAACATTGTGTGTCAATGATACTTCAATTTTAAAAAGAAAAAATAAATGAGCAAAAAAAGAGCAAACAAAATTTTTTACTAAAAAAATAAGTAAAATACACCTGATAAAGACTATTTGGCCATCCATTCATACAACAAAATGTTAATTTGTTCATACTATATACAATCACTGTATTAAGCCCTAAGATAACGCAATGAACAAGACTGTCACGGTCTACATGCACATGGAATTTCTCATCTGAAGGTAAAAACATACACTGAGCAAATAACATCCACAGTGACATGTCATTGAGAAAAAGTCCATGATGCAATGGGAAATATTTACAAAAAGAGCTGACCCAGGTAAGTATCTAGGATGTGCTGTCCTAAGAAAGGACTGAGATAGGAAGGGTAAGTACAAGAGTACGAGGTGGAGGAAAATGTTCCACAGAGTGGTCTTTCCTGAGACTAGGAATGTGGCAAAGCAAGTATAAGAGGAGGGAAAAAAGATGACTCAAGAGCTCAATTTTTGAGATGTTGAGTTTGGAGAGCCTCCAAGACCCCACAGGGCTTCAGGTGGGCTAAAGATTAGCAGGAAGACCATATGTGTGCATGCAAAACACATACACATACTAAAAGATCTGGATGTGTTTGGCCAACAACAAAGATGGCCAGGCAAAATGGAGCACATGGTACATTTCAGCAAAGTGCTCTGGACTCTTTGGATCCCTAATGAAATGAATGATTCTATCAACTAAACCAAGACACTCCTGAAAGTAAACTCAGAAATGTTTAAAATGATGATGGGGCAACGGGCATACAGGTTGTTCCACAGGTACCTTGAGGGGCACACGTAGTTGTTGGTGACTTTGCTCATGCCAAGTAAGTTCCTACCAGATCTGCAAAGCTCAATTTTGTACCATAGCACAGATTTATTTTATCTAGGTCTGGTGTCTACACTCACAAAAAACTTAAACGACAATTTACACCTTTGATTGGAAGTACATAGAATCATCCACTAGCCTCCTGCTCTGGAGCCGAACTCACAGTCACTAAGACCACACAGGTTACACCTTTACCTGGACATCTTGGAGCACCACTTCCTGTCTCCAGCTTAGTGGCATCCTGGTAAACATCCCCAGAGGATGCCAAAAAGATGTGCCAATTGGGCAGTGGGTGGTGTAGGTCTAGAGTTCATACAAGATGTCTGATGGCAACTGAAGGCATAGGAGTGGTGGAGGTCATCCATAATGTGATGGTTAATTTTGTGTGTCAACTTGCCTGGGCTATAAGATGTCCAAAGAGCTGCTAAACATTATTTCTGGGAGTATCTATGAGGGTATTTCCAGAATAGATTAGCATTTAAATTGGCAAACTGAGTAAGGCAGACAGCCCTCCCCAAGGTAGGAGGCATCATCCATTTGTGGGCTCAAACAGAACAAAAAGGAAGAGTGAATTCATTCTCTCTACTTGAGTTACAGGCATCCATCTTCTCCTGCCCTCAAATATCAGTGTTCCTGGTTCTTGAGATTTCAAACTCAGATCAGAGTTTATACCATCAGCCCCGGATCCCACCACTGGTTTTCCAGCTTGCACACAACAGATCATGGGACTTCTCAGCCTCCATACAGTGTGAGCCAATTCCTGTACTAAATCTCCTTTTAAATGTATCTCTGTATATATATCCCATTGATTCTGTGTCTCTGGAGAACCTAATACACATGGAGACAGTATAGAACAAGCCTAAGATCTCCCATATTTAGAGGCCAGAGTGAGGAAGAGTACCAGAAGGTGCTGGTGAAGAAAAAAAAAAAAAGACAAGATAATACGTAGGTTAGAGGGAGCCCTTGAGTGGGGAGGAACTACAGGCATGATGTTCCCTCTCCAACAACCAAATGTCTTTACTCCTGTACTTGAGATCACATATCCAAAGAGGTGATCCTAATGTTCCCATAGTTATAACTCTTCCTGCCGTATGTCCCCAGAAAAGCCTTTTCACAATTCAACACACCTAGGCATACCCCACCCTAAATGTATTCTGAGTGCCCCTCTTCCGGGGGACCTCCCCTAGAATAAATCAGGTGTCACTCTCATATGCCTGGACAAGCAGCTATTCATCAAGAAAGTATAGTAGCCCTTTAGGCCCACTGGTTAAGGATAAGTTGGGCATTCAGGGAGTCAGGACATTAACTCTAAGAGTAATATTCTGACTGTGTCAGTTTCCCTAGATATATAAAAGCTATGTCTATGTGTCCTGGAAGAAAAGGAATGACCTCATTCTTCAGAACTTCTTTCCCACAAAACCCAACTACTCTCAGGTTCTCAAGCAAAACCCAGGGATGCCCTAACCTGCAGCTAAATCTAGACCCTTAAAGCTACAAGAAATGTTAAAAGTTCCTGAGTTCAGGTGACAAGTGATTTCTACTACATACCTTAAGAATTCACTCAGCCTTGGTTTGAATACCTCTAGGGATGAGGAACTTACTACCAGTGAAACTGTCTACTGCCCTCTCAGCTCAATCCGTAAGAAAGTCTGTCCCCACAAGTCATCCCAAAGGGGGGTCATCCTCATCACAGCCTCAAGTGCAGGGGATCATGTACCTGTGGGCACTGCTGGGTCCAGCATTGGTTTCTCCCACGTGTTAATCTGCTCCCAGGTAAACCCATTGGTCCCGAGGGCCACGCTATAGCCACAGTTGCTATAGTGCTCATCAAAGGAACAGCCACCTGCAGACAAAAGAGATATGGGTAAATACATTGTTGCATCTGAGGCTTGGCTCGTTACCCCTGTCTCATCCGCTCTTCATTTACAGCTTCGAATGTTAAACTCTGGAGAAGATTAAGAAGGAAAAAAATGGCAAGCAAATTGGATTTTTATATTTGCTTTGGTGCTCTCAGGAAAGGTGCTGGCATCTGTAGGCCCCCTTATTTAAAAAAGTTAATAAGGCTAGTTTCATTGATTTCAATCTTCCTTCCTGAGAAAGTAAACAGCAACGTTTCATTCTAAGTAGGAAAAATGAATGCCAGGGCATGCCTCTGTGATCACTTCCTGCCACAGGGAGAGATGCGGGAGGCAGCAGAGAGAGCACCGGCTCCAGAGCCCAGACAGACCAGCCACGGATCTCAGCTGGGCCAATCCAGGCCAATCCGGGCCAATCCGGGCCAGCTGCTTCCTCACCTGCATCTCAGGGTCCTCACCTGTGGCACCAGCCACAGACAGAAACGCCGTAAGAATTAAATGGAATCACATATAAAGTAACTGGCACAGAATAAATTCTCCACATTCATCCCCTTCCCTATAAGAGTGGTTTGTGAAAATTCATATTTCATGGCATAAAGATCAAATTTGTAAGGAATCAGACAATTGTGCCCCTGGAAGATAGTAAAGTTGATTTTCACAGTGTTTAAAGTCAGCCACCATTTTACACAAGTTGTATCAATTCAGTTCTGATGAGGATTTACTAGGCATATATGCCATATGCTGTAGATCCCCTCCAAGTGACACTGACAAAGATGCAGGGTACAGAACCAGGGCTCCAAGGTGCAAATTCTGGCCTATCTGGAGAAACAGGGGCCGTGACATCTTGAAGGAGGACTGATCAGGGCTCAGGAGGATCCAGCATCTCCGTGGAAGGGTATCCAGGGTAAGCTGCTGGGACACAGAGGTGGCACAGGCCAGTATTCCACAGCAGCCTCCTGACTGGTCTTCCAGACCCAGTTTCACACCCAGTCTAGCTTTGCCACTGCCCGCCATGTCTCCTTGATGCTCAGGTCTCATCACACCACCGTCTCCCTCCCTTATACACTCCTGCTTCCCGATCACCCATGTCCATGTGGTTCTGATCCACCTAAGAAGCCATCCCTTACTAGCCCCAGCCTGTATCTACAGTCTCCTCCAACATCACACCATCGTCTCCACTAGCTACCAAGGTCAAGTCCTTCTCTGTACCCCAGGCCTGGGATGTTCTCTGCTTAGTGGGGTGGAAGTTCTGTTGACCCATATAATACGGAAGACAGTCACACCACTAAAAAACCCTATGACGCCAAGGCTTTCCCCACTTTCCTTTCTTGCTGTGAATAAGAACCTGGAAGAGTTGGCCCTTACCACCCCAATCTGGAGTCTCAGCTGGACTAAGGAGGGGCTGGGCCTACTTCGCTATTGTAGGACTTTGGGCTTGAGTAAAGACTATTAAATAACTTTGCATTAAAAAGCAGGAATTTGATGTATCTTATGTGAATACCTAGGTTAAAAAGGAAAGGAGACAGAGGGGCCCAAGAAACAATGAAAAGCAGAAACCTACAGAAGATGACAGCCAGTCAGAAATTTCCTGTGATAGAAACTGGATGATACCTCGGTAGGAACTAAAATATCTAATTTCATTTATTCATCCTTCAATTCACCAAGTGTTGTTTTTTAAAGATACATTTATTTGAGAGAGTGAGTGCAAGCAAGGGGAAGGGGAGAGAGGGGGGGGGAGGGTCTCAAGCATTCTCCCCACTGAGCTCGGAGCTTGACATAGAGCTCAACATCTTGACCCCGAGATCATGACCTCAGCAGAAATCAAGAGTCAGACGCTCAACGGACTGAGCCACCCAAGTGTGCCAATTCAACACCTGTTTAACCAAGCAGTTAGTGCAGATCCAACAGAGTCTGAGGCCCAGCAGTTTACAGAAGCAGCTGCTATCACTCTTCAGCAAGACAGACCAACGGTAAACAAGGAAATGAATAAACCCGCAGGCATTTCAGCATCACGCCAGAAAGGCTGCCTTTGGGGCGGGTTAGAGGAGACTAGCAGCCTGGAGCCCAGGAAGCCCTCCCACACTTCCCGGAAACAGTTCCCTGTCCTGTGCTGTAACGTCGCCCTCCACACCCAGCTGCTCAGGGGGAGCTGGCCACACATGGCAGCCATGTGCCGCCAGTACCTGAGGGAACTGAGGGAAGAAGGGTGATGACCAGTGTGCGTGGACAGGTGTCAACGGGCAAGGATGGGAGGCCCAGGAGATGCGAGGAAAGGTTCCCTCACCCCAGAAACAGCAGAGAAGAATGACAAGGAGGGAACCAATCAAGCAGTTTCCACTAGACAGTTCTGGCACATAGTAGGGCTTCAATATCTGTCAAGCGAAGGAACCAATAATCCCAAGGGGACACCTGACACAGACAAAGCTTGGCTTCAGCACCCACAGGCACAGACTCCCCCTCACTCAACCAGTTCTTCCAGGTCTCATACTGACCCATTCTACGGAGAAAGCTCCTTCCCCACATGGCCTGACAAATCCCAAGTGATCCTCCCAAACATCTTCTTCCATCAACTTCCCGGGCCAGAAGAGGGTACGAAAGCCCCAAGACCTTTATAATTTAAAAACAGTGATGGCAGCAGATGTGTTGCTCTTTTGGAGAACCAACTTCCCCTCCCTCTATGTCTCCATGCCATCACCTGCCAGGAGCCCAGCCCAGAGAGACAAACGAATCATGTCAACACCATGGACAACAGATCCTGATGTGCTGGAACTGATATGCAAGGAGCACGTGCAGCATCTTCTAGTCCACTAGAAATCTGACTTAGCATCCTAAACTGAGATCAGTCTCCAGGGCACAAGAAGGAAAGAGTGGCCAAGACCATGCTACGTGTATGGCACACTGTTTGGGTCTTCTCTCTTGTGCACACAAGCGGAGGGGCACACAGGTGGTTCAGCTGGTTAAGTGTCCAACTCTTGATTTCAGCTCAGATCATGATCTCAGGGTCATGAGATGATCAAGCCCTCTCTCTCCCTTTCCTCCTCCATCACCTTCTCCATTAAAAAAAAAAAAAAAAAAAAAAAAAGCACTATGTCATCAAGCCACTTGCATCTGGAAAGACCATGCAGTAAACCCTAGAAACAGATAACAGACTGATATCCACCATATGCATGTTACATGAACTGCCCATAAAAATGATCTCTTACAAACAATCCTCCTCACTGCCTCTGCTGTGAGGAACTTCAAACCTATAGGTGAAGATGGGGGCATCAAAGGAAAAAAGAGGTCTAGATCACTGAGACACTCACTGGAGGTGAGCCAACCAGTCACCTGACCAGTGATATCAGCATTAACCTTTCAAGAGCAAAATAGCAACTTGTCTTATGTTGCTGACATCTTAGGGATGGACTATGACCCCAGGAGAACCTTTTGCACCCTAACAAACGTAAGAAGCAGGGATCCCTGGGTGGCGCAGCGGTTTGGCGCCTGCCTTTGGCCCAGGGCGCGATCCTGGAGACCTGGGATCGAATCCCACGTCGGGCTCCCGGTGCATGGAGCCTGCTTCTCCCTCTGCCTGTGTCTCTGCCTCTCTCTCTCTGTGACTATCCTAAGTAAATAAAAATTAAAAAAAAAAAAAAAGAAAAAAAAGAAGCACACTCTCTAGAGCATCTGCTCCAGGCCAGGCAATATACTAGACACTGACTGTGTATTTTATCTCATCTGCTTTCACTTCATGTTTGCAGCTTACTGGGGTAGGTTATCATCCCTATTCTACATACAAGGAAATTAATGCGTTGAGGGGTTAAGTGGTCTTCTCAGCTCACATGGAAGGGAGTGTTAGAGCCAAGATTAATTCTGTGGTGACCTAAATGCACAACCCAGGCTCTTTCTAATAGATCAGAGTGAGAATGTGTTCCTTAAAACCAAGGACCAAGTCTTTCACTTACAAGGGTATGAGAGAGGATCAGGCAGGCAAAGAGCTTCCAGGATGCCTGGGCCTCTCCCATTAGAACACATTCCTTTGCTTATTCTAGAAACACTTAAAGTTGTTGTTGTTGTTGTTGTTGTTGTTGTTAAGCGTGTTCTGTGTGGGGGCATGGAATCAACATACAGAATTCTTACGCTCGCGTGCGTGGCTGACTGCACGGAAAGGGAACAACATAAACATACATTTAAGGTGCAAAAATGTAAAAACCACCTTCATGGGGGTTGTGCTGAAGCTCAGAGATCCCATTCAAAAGAGGCTGTTTAACAAATCCCTAATCTACCCTCTACCAACTCTAGCACTACCACTTGCAAATCCACCACGGCTTGACGAACACGGAAGCAGGAAGTCCAGCAGGTTAGGCAAGATGGCCAATAACCACTGAGAACACAGAAAGAAAAAAAAGCAGTTTCCTACATGTTTGGCTGCTAAAAAGGAGTGAGGCATTCAGCTCTGGGTTTCTAATGGCCACTAGAAAAAGGAAAATCTATTCAAATCCTGGACACTCTGTGTTTGTTCATACAATAAAAGCCAAATTGCACAGGAAAATTTATAACCATTCCAGGTGCTCAACTCACACACAAACTTCTCCGTAGGTAAAAGAAGTCCCTTGGGGATCCCTGGGTGGCGCAGCGGTTTGGCGCCTGCCTTTGGCCCAGGGCGCGATCCTGGAGACCTGGGATCGAATCCCACATCGGGCTCCCGGTGCATGGAGCCTGCTTCTCCCTCTGCCTGTGTCTCTGAGCCTCTCTCTCTCTCTCTCTCTCTCTCTCTCTCTCTCTGTGACTATCATTAATAAATAAATAAAAAAATTAAAAAAAAAAGAAGTCCCGTTCCTCATCGTGAACAGTATCTGAGATAACATCCACACAAGGAGTGCACAGCCAGTGAAACGAGGCTGTTTCTCAGAGTCATTCTCAACAAATTGCTGGAATACCCACACCATCGGAGGGAGAGCCACTCATTGGGACCCAAGAGGATTCAATTTAGAGTAGTCTGGCTTGA